CTTATTAACACCACATGGAGTCTCACAGTGGAAGTCACATTGACAAAAATGCAAATGGAATATTAAACGTGTCGGCTGAAAACGAGACAACAGGAGAAAAAACTCTCAAAGGCACAGGTGGACAAGATGGTTGCAGACGCAAAAGAGTTCAAGGCAAAGGACGACAAGATGATGACTTTTGAGGCTAAAAATCGACACTCACCTAATGCTACCGTGTAATAACACGGTGAACAAGCAAATTTTTTCAAGGTTATCAACAAAAGACAAAGAAGCAATTGAAGCAATTATCAAGGTACACTCGAGTTGTAAATTGACAAGAATCCGTACCAAAAGTCTATGTATTTATACAAAAACACGATGCGTTGTTCTTATTCTTAACAATTAAACAATTTAAAAAAAATTCACAATATTATTTTATGTTTACACGTGTCACGTTTTTTTCTCAAAAAAAACAAAAAAATACATTTTGTCATTTTTCTTGATTGTGGATAGTTTTACAAATTTCATTATTTTTTAGTTTTTTTGCCAGAAATTAAAAAAGAAAAGAAAAAAAATTTACACACCTTGGGAAAACCATTTTCATGACTCCACACACCGATAGAATTTTTACTGTATTTACTTTCGGGGGAGTGCAAACCATGTGATCCAAATTGTGTTATAAACTCTTGTATTAACGGAAAAGGTTGTACAATGTGTCAGAACAATAATTACCCTGAGAATGGGATTTGTCATTCATGTACACTAATTCCAAATTGCCAAAATTGTAGTTCTATAGAAAAAATATGTACTGTATGTGTAGGTGATTTTTTAATTACAAATGGTGAATGTATATGTCGCTCCGGTTTTTATTTGAATGAAGTAAACGGGTGTTCACGATGTTATGAAAGAATTGAAAATTGCAAAATATGTTATCAAAATAATAATGAAATAAGATGTCAAACTTGTTATGAACCTTATGTAGTTGATGCTAATGGTACATGCACATTATGTAAATCTGACAAATATTATTATAATAATAACTTTTGTGTTTTTTTAGATACAAATTGTGAAATACAGACATCTGAATTAAAATGTCTCAAATGTCAACAAAATAATTATTTAATTAACCAAAATTGTATTTCAAATATAGAAGATGTAAATTGCAAAGAAAAAAGTTTGGCTGGTTGTCAAGAGTGTTCGAATGGTATTTCAATAAACAATTATTGTGAAAATTCAATAAGCAATTGCAAATATATTTTGTCGACTAATAGTGATGTAAAATCCAAGTGTTTTCAGTGTACAGATAATTACATACTTTTTTCAAATAAAACATGCAATAGTGTAAACAATGATATTCTATCAATGAGAAACAACGTGGTTTATTTATGCGATAAAAATGGATACATTGATATGAAAAACAAATGTCAAAATTGTTTTAATAACAATACAACAAAATGTAAATTATTTGGAAACCAATTTAATGCTATTCAATGTGTAAACAATTCAATATTAAACATAGAAGACAAAAGTTGTTTTTATGATAATAATTGTGTAACCATTTCGTCAAATGACTGTGTAAAATGTAATTCAAACTCAAATTATTATATCAGTGACAACAAATGCGTTTTGAATGTTATTGACAAATGTGATAAATGTCATAACAATAGTTGTGTTATTTGTAGTGTCGGATATTTATTGCAAAAAGGAGTTTGCCAAGAAATGTCAGTTTATAATTGTGTAAAATCTAATGGATTTTCATGTCTTCAGTGTGTTGAAAATTACAGCCGAAATAACACAACAATAGATCAAACTTATTGTACACAAAATGATAATCAAATTAAATACTCCATTACTAATTTTAACAACAAAATTGTTATTTTGGAGTGTACAAATACTAACTATTTATGGAAACAAAACTGCTTTTTAATAACATCGTACACTTCATTTATTAAGTTTGAAAAAACAATTAAAAAAGAAATAATTGACAACACCAATTGTGAAATTATGACTTCAAAGGGGTGTTTAAAGTGTATAGATATGTTCTATTTAAACACAACAAATAACGAATGTCTTCCATGTGTTAACTCAACTTCAAATTGTTTAAGTTGTTCTAACTCGACACACTGTCTTACATGTAAGACAACAAGCTATTTTCTTAACAAAGAAAATAAGTGCGAATTGATAAGCGAACTTGAAACCCGATGTATTGTTATGTTACCTTCACGAAGTGGGTGTGTGACGTGTAAAGATGGATATTACTCCGGCGACTGTCTTCCATGCAATTCAACTTGTAAAACATGTCAAGTCGCTACAAAGTGTTTATCATGTCAAGAAAATTTCTTTAAAATTGGGAGCGACACTTCTTTATGTATAAGTTATGATTTACTTTTAAATTGAGACAAAAAGACTCCAAGTGGATGTTCAAAGTGTTCGGATGGGTATTATCTTGTTCATTCGAATTCAATGTGTAACAAATGCACAGCCAACTGTTCAATTTGTTCAGCAGTAGATATATGTACTTCTTGTGAACAAGACTTTGTATTGATTAATTTTCAGTGTAAATCGATTTCTGAAATAGAATTTTGCATTTCAGCGCACAATTCAATTTGCACGAAATGTGGTGATAACAAGAAAGTGGCTCCAGATGGATTATCGTGTGGTGATCAAATTAATTTGAAATTGGTTATCACTGTACCCGTTGTTATTGTATTTATTTTATTTGTTGTAGTGATTACTGTAATAGTGTCACTTTATATATACAGAACAAAAAGAAAGATAAAACAACAAATGCAAAACGTCTGTGTTTTTAACATGAAAAAATCAAACATTTTATTCAAAAATTTGTCTTCAAACTTGGTGACAAATAACACAGAAATTGTATTTGAAAATGACACAGATGACAACGCAGAAAGTGCTTATATTCCAGTAAACAAAGAAACAAGAACACTCTTATGTATAGGAAACATTTCAAAACGTGCACAAAAGATTCAATTTAGTGTAAATGAAGGGTGTGAGTTGTATTCTATTCGAACAGTTCCACAACTTGTCACACTCAAACAAGACCAAGCGTGCGAATTTGAAATTTTTATTCAACCGAATTGTTCGTGTGAAATAGAAGACGACATTTTGTGTATTTCACTTGACATTAATAAAGGTGTACAAACAACTAATAAAATCAAAATCAATGCAAAAACAATTTTAACAACAAAACTGAACAACACTGAATTAATTGAAGAGGACAAACTTGGCGAAGGCTCTTTTGGAATTGTTTTTAAAGGGACTTTCAGAGGGAATTGTGTTGCTATCAAACGCTTAAAAAGTGGATGTACAAATGAAACAAGTATGATAGAATTTACAAAAGAAGTTTCAATGCTCGACAAATTTAAAAATGAGTACATCGTTCACTTTTATGGTGCCGTTTTTATACCAAACAAAATTTGTCTTGTCACTGAATTTGCTCCTTATGGGTCTTTAAAAGATGTGATGAAATCTTTTCAATTAAAAGGCGACTTAATTAAAACAAACTATTCAATTGATAGTAAAATAAAAAACACTAAATTTGTGAGTAAAAAGATGTGTCGAAAGTTCATGTATGACATGGCAAAGGGGATAGAATACCTCCACTCTAACGGGATTGTCCACAGAGATATCAAGCCTGATAATCTCTTGATATTTTCATTTGATTTGACAGTGAAAATAAATGCTAAGTTGACTGATTTTGGTGCAAGTAGAAATATTAATATGTTAATGACTAATATGACATTCACGAAAGGAATTGGTACACCTAAATACATGGCGCCTGAAATTTTGAATCAACAAAAGTATAATAAACCGTCAGATATTTTTTCATTTGCTATTACTATGTATGAAACGTTGGAGTGGACTGATCCATACCCAAAAGAATATTTTAAATTCGCTTGGTCTATTGCAGACTTTGTTGCATCCGGTAAAAACCTTGATAAAAATGCAAATCTAACAAAAGAAGAGTTTGAGATCATCACACAGATGTGGTGGATTGACCCCGGAAAAAGGTTACAAATAGATAATGTAGTTGATAAACTCAATAAATTGATTAATTGATTAAATTGATGTTTTAATGATAATATGAAATTGTTATACAAACATTTGTTATTTTTTATATAATATTATATAAATGATTTAACAAATAACAACGAACAAAAGTCTTTATAACAGTTTGTCATATTTATACAAACTTTTATATTTTTTTACCATTACTTTGAAAATGGTTTTTCATTTTTTATTAAAGTCTGTCTAAAAACGTTGTCCGCTTGTAAAATGTTGTCCATTTGACAAAAAATACACAAAATATGTTTAAAAATTTGGGAATTAGGAAAAAAAGATCAAATCCCGGTAAAAATTATGGAACAATGTTTTGGGAGTGTTTCGAACTGTTTCCCGAAATATTCCAATTTTGATGGTCCAAAAATGACTGGACAACGTTGGAGAGTGGACAACGTTTTTAGACTGACTATAGTATTTTAAATTGTCGTTTCAATACCAAATACTCATTTCTTTTTTTTACGACCATATTATTTTTTATGCTCGCATTTAAATATTAAACACTTGCAGGTATGTTTGTCTGTGCTATTATTATATCAAATAATGTTTAGTTTAAAACAAAATATTTCTATATAATGATCTCTTATAACCATCAAACTCGTTGGCACATCATAAGTTCCTCTTCCCTTATTGTGTTCTCTTATAACCATCAAATAAAATAATTTAGTTTGAGAAGAGTTGAAATCGACTTGTTTGTGATTTTAATGTATTTAATGCATTTAATTAAAAATGCACACAGAACACAAATTAGTTGCATTGTATCAATGGACCACCAAAAGATGACAACTCAAAATAAAAATATTCTTGCAGAATATCTCTTCCCTTTATTTTTCTATATCTTACAATGGACACAATCGTCCTTTAAATAGTACACAAATGATCTATAACCCCACAACCAAAAAACAACAATTTTGATAAATTTTCACACCTTTCTTTTTTGGGATAGTTCTTTACAATTTAATTCTTTGGGAGTCTGTATATAGAAAAGAAAATGTTCATCATTGTAATAGTCTTTAGAACTTCTGGTAGTATTTTACACAATGAGTTGGTGTTTTTGAAGTCATATTTTTCTTGTAAGCACACACGTCAAATAAAGTGGCTCCATTTATTAACCAATTTTCCATTAACTGTATTG